GGGGATCATGGGGCCCATGTGTCCTTGCCCAAACTTAAAAAAGCCTATGAAAAAGGTACCAGGGGCATCTCATGGGGCCCCCTACTGACCCCGGGCCCTCGAGCAGTGCCCAAGTTTCCAAATGGTCAGTCCACCCCTGCACCGCACTAACACAGTCCCTCTATAAGTCGCTGATCACCACCATTACTAGTATAAAAAAATTAATAAAATTAAAATTCCAGTATCTATACTATTGTATGTACACACTATAAGTATCAGACAAACCAATCAATATATACTTATTGGTATTTTTTTTTTTTACCAAAGACATGTAGCAGAATACATTTTGGACAAAAGTTCTGGAAATGTTTATTTTTTTAAATTTGTTTTTGGATATGTTTTAAAGCAGAAAGTAGAAAATATTGATTTTTTTTCAAGATTTTGGGTATTTTTACATTTATATCACAAAAAAGAAAAAAACCCAGTGATGACCAAATACCACCAAAAGAAAGCTCTATTTATGTGAAAAAAATTATATAAATTTTATTTGTGTACAGAATTGCATGACCGCACAATAATCAGTTAAAGTAGTGCAGTGCTAAAATAGCGAGAACTGGCCTGGTCATGAAGAGGGTAAAATCTTCCAGGGCTCAAGTGGTTAATCAGACCAATCTTAGAGACCACTTGATAAAAAATTTTTTAGCCATTTGTTCAGTGAATTTGCATGTACATTCATTCTGCTTAAATTGGACAAAAAGCAAATGTTCTTTGGGCTCTGGCCACTAGATGGTACTGAGGAGCATGGGAAATACATACACTTTTTTTAACCTCCCTAGCGGTCTGATTATGTCCATATTTCTGTGCTCAAAGCGGTACATTTTTTTGCATGGAAATATGTATTTTTGTTATTATAGGCCTGTAATTTTTAGGAATAACTCACTGAAATCTGTCCGAACAAGAGTCTAGTAAACACCCCGGGTATGATAAAACTTGAAACACGAAATCATAAATTATAATTTCATAAATAATCATAAAAAATAATAACATAATAATAAATTTAATTCAATAATATAATCAAACCAAAAAAACACTGAAATTTGAAATATAGCGCCAAGTTCACACATCACTGAGCAAAGTCGCAAAATCGTTTTCAGTGTCTGACGAATTTCCCCCCAAATCATTATCACTCAATTCTGCAAGTGGATCTGATTTACTATCGCTGTTCTCTAGCTGGTCTAAAACCGCTTTTGACCTAAAGGGACCCTTTTTGGACGCCATAGACGTTTCTCAGTTTCCAGGCAGAAAGAACAGTAAATATGCAGGCAGGGCACAGGACAAAGCACTCGGGACAAAATGTATGTGAAATGGTTTGATACAGTAATGTTTTACTATGTGATTTTAGTGATTTTAGTGAATGTCACTTTTTGTCATTTTGAAATTTCCCACCGTTCCGTCCCCCGTACGTCCTGACGCTCACAGGGAACAGAACCCAGATGACAGATGCCGGCATCCGCCGGATTACATTGCCGGGGACACTGCAGGGGGGATATCGCGGGAGCGCAGGACAAGGTAAGTGATTAAGGGATCCCGGAGCAACGCTGCAGGGTATTCCTGAGTGTAGCTCGGGGTTACCGCTTGTGGTACTGAAACTTTACCCTGAGCTACACTTGGGAATACCGCCAGGGAGGTTAAAAAAGAGATACAATGTAACAATTTTAAAAAATGCTTGAGGAAATTAGGAAATGTATCCAATGGTTACATTTATTGCCTCTGGCACAGGAGTAGGCAACTTCAACTGTGGTGAAACTATAAAGTCCTCATGCACACAAGGCATTTATACAGTGGCTGTTTTTGGCTTTTGGCATTTTTTTTCTACAGCCAGTAAACTCTCCAGCATGTTAACCTATGTATAAAACACAAAAAAACCTGTGCTCTGGATGTAACCACACTCTGAATTCAAGAGAGCAAAATAGTAAGGAAAGCAGCTTGCACACAAAAGGCGATATTAAAAATGAATAACAAAAATGCAGCGTTAATCAATAATGCATTAAAATATCAACATAAAAGTCCAAATAGATCCTCAAGTGAATGAGACAAGTTGCAGGAGAAGATTCTGGTGTCATAAACCATCACCGAACACCCGAATAAATAAGCCCCTTACCGGACATTCAGACCGTATAATATGCACAATATATGGACCTATTGTGGACCTAACTAAAATTTCCAAATTTTTTTAAAAAATTTAGTTAGGTCCACAGTATATAGAGGACCCTTGACGTGGGACTGTGGCTTACGCATGTATTTGCAAATGTGTGCAAACAAAACCCTCTGTTTTTAACGCATCCTGTTAGACAGGGCCAAATTGGTTGTTTCGCAAGCTGGCTAGATAGGAGTTTTTTCCAGCTTTTGCAGATCTTTAAAGACAAGGAACATTCTTCACCTTAAGGAGGATTCTCAGTGACAAATACCTGCCTCATTGATTCCTCATGTACTGCACGTAATGACCAATATTTTTAGTTTTTACAGCTAAAAATCTCCTCTAGAAACCCACTAGTTCTGTTTCTTTTCCAGCCAAAAAACGCTGATTAAAGTCTATGTTTGCATGAACACATAGGATAACATGAATAACAAAAATGCAGTGCTAATTGATATGGGCAGCACAGTGGCTAAATGGTTAGCACTTCCACCTGGCAGTACTAGGGTTGTTGGTTCGAATCCCAACCACGGCACCACCTGCCTGGAGTTTGCATGTTCTCCCCTGTGCCTGCGTGAGTTTCCTCCAAGTACTCTAGTTTCCTCCCACACTCTAAAGACATGCTGGTAGGTTAATTGGATCCTGTCTAAATTGGCCCTTGTATATGAATGTAAGTTAGGGACCTTAGATTGTACACCCCTTGAGGATTAGGGACTGATGTGAATGTACAATATATATGTAAATCACTGTGTAAATTGATGGTACTATAGAAGTACCTGAAATAAATAACTAAATAATGCATTAAAATGTCAACATAAAAGTCCAAATAGATCCTCAAGTGAATGAGACAGATTGCAGGAGAAGATTCTGGTGTCATAAACCATCACCGAACACCTTAATAAATAAACCCCTTACTGGACATTCAGACCGTATAATATCGGTCAATATGCGCAGTACATGAGGAATCAATGAGGCAGGTATTTGTCACTGAGAATCCTCCTTAAGGTGAGGAATGTTCTTCCTCTTTAAAGATCTTCAAAAGCTGGAAAAACTCCCATCTAGCCAGCTTGTGAAACAACCAATTTTGACCAGTATGCGTTAAAAACAGAGGGTTTAGTTTGCACACATTTGCAAATACATGTGTAAGTCACAGTCCCGCATCAAGGGTCCTCTATATATTGTGGACCTAACTAAATTTTTTGGAAAAAGTTTGAAATTTTACTTAGGTCCACAGTAGGTCCATGTACTGTGCATATTGACCAATATTATAAGGTCTGAATGTCCGGTAAGGGGCTTATTTATTCGAATGTTCGGTGATGGTTTGTGACACCAGAATCTTCTGCAACTTGTCTCATTCACTTGAGGATCTATTTAGGCTTTTATGTTGACATTTTAATGCATTATGGATTAGCACTGCATTTTTGTTATTCGTGTTATCCTATGTGTCCATGCACACATAAGCTTTAATCAGCATTTTTTGGCTGAAAAAAAACCCAGAACTAATGGGATTCTAGAGGAGATTTTTTAACTGTAAAAATGCTCTAATGCTAGTAAATGTAGTAAACCAGCGTTTTGGGGCATTTTTTTTTTTTGGAACACATTTTTTGTTTCTAAAAAATGCTTAAAAAGGTAAACACGGAACAAACGTGGCTAAACGCTAATGCAAAAACACTGAAAAACTTGCGTTTTTCTCGCGACTTTACACAGCTAATGCTACCTGCGTTTATTAAAATGCCCAGTGTGCATGGAGCGTAAATCTCATGCCTATACCTCAGTCATGCCTATGGCAGTCAGAGTCTTGCATTGCCTCTTGGAACTTGCTGGGAGTGCCAAGTTTGCTCTTCACTGTACTAACATTCTCTAGAATTGACACATTTTATCTCTTCTACCAAAGTGTTTCCTATGCTCATCTGCTCCATCTAGTGGCCATAATGTAGTATTGTACTGCTGATCATAATAAAAGAACGTTTGTTCAGAAGAGAAAATTGCCTTTTTTCTTTTTTTTATAAATAGACCCCTTACTGTCCCCAAGATAGCAAAGCATTTTCCTGTACAGTGTAACCACCCCATGCATCTACCGCCCGCTGCAGCACTGTCTTAATATAATAAATACTTTCTGTTCTAGAGTGGGTGGCTATAAGATTATTCATGTAGAAAAATACTTTTCTCTAGTGAATGCAGCTTGTTCTCTCTCCCTCTCTCGCCCGCTTTTTTGTTAGGTTATGTGGTTTATTGGCGTGTGCAAAATTGTGTTAATGAGTGGGTGGCTGGGAGCTTCATGAATGAACGTGAAAATAAAAGTAATGACTACTTTAGGTCCATGTCTCCAATGTCTGCTTTACCATAGCGACAGAGATTCTGCAGCAAATCAGCCAAAGTGAGCCGCTTCTAGATAACAGACTCAATGATCTGTAAGAAACTCTTAACTACTACTTGCAGGAAGCATGCTGTATTCCTGGTGACTGTCATATTCATTGGCCCATGCTCTACATTGTAAATAGATCTACATGTCGTTGGTTATTGTCATTTTCAGTGCAATTAGCATTCTTCAGGGCTCTTGCAAAAAAAAAAAAAAATGATTATGATACCTTTTGGGATATACGTGTGTTAGATTCATCATGATTATAGGTGAAAAGGACATAAAAATACACAATATAGAAATTATTAATCCATCTTTAATGAGTTGTTTGGTGCTTCCAGTGCTGTTATTTATGGTTTATATGTAATTATATAGTATGATGCTGAATGTTACTTTTCAAGTTGGATACTCAAATAATTCCTGTTCTCTCCTGAGTTCAGGAAAAAAAAAAAATATATATATATATATATATTGTGGGAACTCGCTTCCAGTGGTAGAGCTTTTCCTTTCAAAAGCACACAGCAACTCGCTTCTTTTTAAGGGCCTTTTTGCCCAATTTTATTTAAAGATAAAGTCCAACAAAAATGCTTCCCACGCAGGGGTATCCACGATCAAGCAAAAACAATAAAGATTCAGCCTCCTGGCTTGTACGCAGTCTGATGTCTGTCTCCTTCAGACTCTTCCCAAATTATGGCTCTCACACACAGCTGGCCACTAGCACACAGCTAGTCTGGCTTCCACCTCTCCCTGGTGGAGCCCTCCTGACTCCTGTCTTCTGGGTGGAGCCCTCCTGACTCCTGTCTGCCGGGGTGGAGCCCTCCTGACTCCTGTCTGCCGGGGTGGAGCCCTCCTGACTCCTGTCTGCCGGGGTGGAGCCCTCCTGACTCCTGTCTGCCGGGGTGGAGCCCTCCTGACTCCTGTCTGCCGGGGTGGAGCCCTCCTGACTCCTGTCTGCCGGGGTGGAGCCCTCCTGACTCCTGTCTGCCGGGGTGGAGCCCTCCTGACTCCTGTCTGCCGGGATGGAGCCCTCCTGACTCCTGTCTGCCGGGATGGAGCCCTCCTGACTCCTGTCTGCCGGGATGGAGCCCTCCTGACTCCTGTCTGCAGGGATGGAGCCCTCCTGACTCCTGTCTGCAGGGATGGAGCCCTCCTGACTCCTGTCTGCAGGGATGGAGCCCTCCTGACTCCTGTCTGCCGGGGTGGAGCCCAGAACCATGGGTTAGGCCTCTACAAAAAGCCCTGCACCCACCTGTACAGTGTCCTGGCCATTACCAAAACCTGGTCACAGGATTGGAGATTTCATCCCTCCCAGATCTCTTTGAAATCTTCAGACTCCAGATCCCAAAACAGACTCTATGAATAAATGAGAAAACCGAAAAGCCAGTTTCCTCTGCATTACATCAATCTTCTGGAGCCCCTCAACCTGCCTGGTTGAGAATCCAGGGTTATCAGCTTGATTGTGACCGCGGCAGGACACTGCACTGCCACAATATATATATATATATATATAGTGAAGGAAATAAGTATTTGATCCCCTGCTGATATTGAATGTTTGCCCACTCACACAAAGAAATGATCAGTCTAAAAAATTGAATGGTAGGTGTATTGTAACACTGAGAGACAGAATAGCAACAAAAAATTCAAAAGAAGTGCATGTTTAACAAAATATGCACTGATTTGCATGTTCATGAGGGAAATAAGTATTTGATCCCCTATTATTCAGCAGGATTTCTGGCTACCAGGTGTCTTTCATACAGGTAACAAGCTGAGATTAGAAGCAGTCTCTTAAAGGGAGTGCTGCTAATCTCATTGTGTTACCTGTATAAAAGACACCTGTCCACAGGAGCAATCAAACAAACAGATTCCAAACTCTCCACCATGGCAAAGACCAAAGAGCTGACCAAGGATGTCAGTGAGAAGATTGTAGACCTACACAAGGCTGGTCTCGGCTACAAAACTATTGCCAAGCAGCTTGGTGAGAAGATGACAACAGTTGGTGCAATCATTCGCAAATGGAAGAAACTCAAAACAACTGTCAGTACACCAATCAATCGATTTTTAGACTGCTCATTTCTTTGTGAGTGGGTAAACATTCAAAATCCACAGGGAAGCAAATACTTATTTCCTTCACTGTATATGTGTATATATTTATAAATATATATAAATATATATATATATTTATATATATATATATATATATATATATATATATATATATATAGTTGTGCGCAAACATTTGCACACCCTGGCAGAAATCATGAAGTGTTGACATTGATATTGAAAATATGACTTATCATGCTACAAAACTGTCTTTTATTTAAAGTGATACTAAATCAAACATTTTTTTTTTTTTTTTTTACCTTGATTGCATTAAAGTGTTGTCAAACTCACAACAGTAAAATCAGTCTGTATATGCAGTAAAGCATGCTTGTTATACTCACTGTGAAACCTAAGGGGATAATCCTCTGCATTGTGTAAAAAAGCCAGTTGATCCTGTTTTTCTCTGCCCCTCCTCTTGTTCAAATGTCTACCTGATAAGATAGACTGAACCCCTATGCACATGCTCATTTTAGTGTGTATTGCTAGAGAGGTTTTTTTTTTTCTTGGGAGAGTGCATGTGATCAGCACAGGGCCAATCAGCACTGTCCAGACAGAGGTCAGGGGGTTTGCATCCTCCTAGAGCAGAAAGAAAACTCATCCTACAACCTACTCGAATAATAATGCTCGAATAACACCTGCTCTCTCCTGAGTTCAGGAAAAAACAAAAAAAAAATTATATATATGTATATATATACACAGTATATGTGTGTGTGTGTATATATATATATATATATATATATATATATATATGTGTGTGTATGTGTGTGTGTGTATATATGTATGTATATATATATATATATATACAGTTGTGCTCAAACGTTTGCATACCCTGGCAGAAATCATGAAATGTCGGCATTGATATTGAAAATATGACTGATCATGCCACAAAACTGTCTCTTATTTAAAGTAATACCAAATGGAAAAATTTTTTTTTGTTTTTGTTTTACCTTGAATGCATTAAAGTCCTCATGCACACAGGGAATTTTACAAGCTTTAACCAGTGCTCTGCTGAAGTCACAAGACTGCTGTAACTGCTGATGAGAAAAGGTATTTAGCAGTTTATATTTACAAAAATAATTGCATTTCCATATTCTGTGCACTGTGGGAGACCCAATATACTGAATGCAGGGTCCAGGGTTCAGTATCACTTTAAGGTAAAAAAGTTATAATTTTCTGTACTCCCCCTTCTCTGTGTGAAGGGGAAAAGAGGGGAAAAGAGATCCAGTGCTGAGCATGGCTGCATCTTCTCTCTCACTCTTCCTCTTCACACAGGACTCAAGCAGCAGCAGGAGCCATTGGCTGCTGCTGCTGTCAATCAAATATAGTGAGGTGGAAGTTGAGCCCCGTTGTGGGAGCGTGGCTCCATAGACACACAGCTTAGGAGCGAGCATACACCGGGTACTTCCATATCAAATGGCTTGCTATGAGAACAAACTAAGAAGAGGAGGATCCGGGGTGCTCTGTGTAGTAAGATTGCACAAAGCAGGTGAGTGTAACATGTTTGTTATTTTTAAATTTTTCTAAAATGTAGCCTTTAGTAACACTTTAAGGATAGTGATCTGTCAAGGTCCTACCTTTTCCCTGAGGTTATGTTACTCCATGTGCTGGCGTCCATCTTGGATTCTTCTGTGCATGATGGGAATACTTTTTATGCCTTCAGGTCTCTGAGGTCCACCCCCCAGAGGGGCGTGGCTGATGAGATATAAGCCTGTGGCCCGCACATGCTCTTTGCACTTGTGTCTTTGTGTTGCTGTTACTCTGTTCTGGCTCTCGTGACTCTCCTGGTATTCTGATTCGGCTTGTGACTTGACTATATTTTTGTATTCTCCTTTGATCTGACCCTCTGTTGCTGAACCCGGCTTGTGACCTGTGATTCTCTCTCGTCTGCTGTCCTGTACTGTTTTGTCCTGTTGTTGTTGACCCCGGCTTGTCTGACTACTCTTTTGTTTCTTCCACCAGCTACACGCCATTGGCGGCGGCCATTACCGCAGCTGAGGTGTCTCGGGGGCCGCGACCTGGTTCCTGGCTGAGTCAAGTCCATCCCCACCATCAGGGGCCCTGGTGAAGGGCAGCCTGGGACTTAGACTCCGCGCCCTGAGGGACTTCGGTCTGTGGGTGGTGGTTGTCGTCAGCCAGTGCGTTACATTGTTAGGCCTGCCTGTTCGTTCCTCGGCTCCTGCCCTGACATGATCATATGAAACCATTTATTATCATATGGTTGTTTGGCTCCTTTTTAAATCATAATGATAACAGAAATCACCCAAATGGCCATGATCAAAAGTTTACATACCCTGGAATGTTTGGCCTTGGTACAGACACACAAGGTGACACACACAGGTTAAAATGGCAATTAAAGGTTAATTTTCCACATCTGTGGCTTTTTAAATTGCAAATTAGTGTCTGTGTATAAATAGTCAATTAGCTTGTTAGCTCTCACATGGATGCACTGAGCAGGCTAGATATTGAGCCATGGGGAGCAGAAAAGAACTGTCAAAAGACATATGTAACAAGGTGATAGAACTTTATAAAGATGGAAAAGGAAATAAAAAGATATCCAAAGCCTTGAATATGCCAGTCAGTACTGTTCAACCATTTTATTAATAAATGGAAAATTCAGGGATCTCCTGATACCAAGCCAAGGTCAGGTAGACCAAGAAAGATTGCAGCCACAACTGCCAGGAGAATTGTTCGAGACACAAATTAAAAACCCACAGGTAACCTCAGGAGAAAGATAGGCTGCTCTGGAAAAAGGCAGTGTGGTTGTTTCAAGAAGCACAATACAGCAATATGTGAACAAAAATGAGCTGCTGGTCGAGTTGCCAGAAAGAAGCCTTTACTGCATCAAAGCCACAAAAAAGCCCAGTTATCGAATGCCCCACAGCACCTTGACATGCCTCACAGCTTCTGGCACACTGTAAGCTGAAATGACGAGACCAAAATAGAGCCTAATGGTAACAACCATAAGCTCTACATTTGGAGAGGGATCAACAAAATTTATCATGACAAGAATACCCTCCCCACTGTGATGCATGGTGGTGCCTCACTGATGTTTTGAAAGTGTGTGAGTTATAAAGGCATAGGAAATCTTGTGATAATTGATGGCAAGATGCATGCAGCATGCTATCAGTAAAAAGTTGGCAAACAATTTGCATTCTTCTGCATGAAAGCTGCACATAGAACTCTCTTGGACTTTCCCGCACAACAATGACCCCAAGTACAAGGCCAAGTTGACCATCCTGTGGGTACAGCACAAAAAGGTGAAGGTTCAGGAGTGGCCATCACATAATTATATCACCGAGCCACTCTGGGGAGATCTCAAACGTGCAGTCCCATAAGAAATAAAAAAAAATGTTTTGCCTGCTCACGCATGTTTTGTTTAAAAATGGTATTGTGTATTTCCAATTC